CTCCCCTCCCGCGCTAGCCTAAGGGCCACCTTAGCAAAGCGCATCCCAGGCTGCATAGCCGCACTACCCTACCCAACCATACCACACATAAACATGACACTACCCCCGGGGTTTACACAGACGAGCCGGCGAAGCAAGAAGAGCGCCAGAAGAAAGGGCCCTAGCCGGCGGGGCCCAGCCAGGACAAAAGGAGGTCCCACAAAGCGCCTACACCGGCCGCATTTGCGGTCGGGGTAGATGACGGATGGGGCCCACCTACGAAGGCTGTCCAGGCCTACACGAGATGAGGCAGGATAAAGAGGGATAATCCCCCTCGATCCCAAATCATTGAGGCCAACTTCTAGCCATAGAATAATGGCGCGCGGGCGCTCATGCACCAAGTGAATTTTATCCTGAATGGTCAAATCCGTGCAGACTTTCGTGCCGAAGTGGAAGTTGGCTAGCAAATTGATTCTGAATGCACCCCTTTCTATTTCTTACTCAATGGTAACTTCTGTGTTCAATGGTTTATGCCATACATGTGAAGTACCCAATTTTTGTGTAGTTGATCCGATAAATTCGTTTTTCAACAAAAGAAATTCTACTAGTGAATAGTGTAGTGACTGTAGTGATCATTGTTTAGAAATGTCTAGCCAAATAGATTGGGCTAAGTATGTAGCCGAAACGGAGAAAAATTTCACGAGAAAGGTCTGTTTGTTTATTGTTTTATAAGCACTTTTGTCATGTCTAATTTTAGATGGCAAATATAGAAATTTCAGACGAAGGTGACAGTCGTAGGAAAAATACAATTAGGGATGATGATGATGCTAACTATCAGTTCAATTTTCTAATAAGGTCTAAAACAAAGGGTTTAGTTGAAAGCAAAAATGATATCGAGGTGCAGCGGAAAGACCCAAAGTCACCATTGTACTCTGTTAAAACCTTCGAAGCTTTGAATTTGTAAGGATCCTTTGTCTTAGACTGTGATATACTTTTAACAGGGTTGCTTTTAGAAATCCAAAACTACTCAAAGGAGTCTATGATATGGGCTTTAATGCACCTTCTAAATTCCAAGAAAAATTACTACCTACTGTTTTGGCAGATTCCCCACAGAATTTAATAGCGCAAGCACTGCCAGGTGCTGGAAAAACTGTAGCTTTCGTTCTTGCTATGTTAAGTAGAGTTGATGTAACAAAGAAATACCCACAAGTAAAATTATTTTTCAAATAAAAATGTCTCGAGTGTTTGCGTTGAATAATTAATTTTATAGGTACTGTGCCTTTCTTCAACTTACGAATTAGCAATTCAGACTGGTGAAGTTGCAGCTTATATGGCAAAATTCTGCCCAGAAATTGAAATGAAATTTGCAGTAAGGGGAGAGGATGGTAAATTTCTGTTTATTTGCGTTATTTACAACTCTATTTGTTCACTGTTGTAGTGCCTAGAGGAACAAAATTGACTGAACATATAATAATTGGCACACCAAGAAAAGTTTTGGATTGGGGTATCAAATTTCGAGTTTTCGATTTGAAAAAAATCGATGTTTTCATTTTGGACGAGGCTGATGTTATGATAGCGACACAAGGACATCAAGATCAGTGCATTAGAATACATAAGTATGAATTTAATTTAACGTTTAGTTCATACTGATCTATTAAATATTTTTCTAGGAATCTAAGGCCGACTTGTCAAATGATGTTTTTCGTGCCAGTGTACGACCAAGAAGTCATGGATTTCGCTGAGCACATTGTAAAGACTCCCATTATAATGAGGTTGAAAGGGGAAGAAGAAATCTTAGATAACATTACTCAATACTACGTGAGGTGCGCAAATCAGCAAGAGAAGTACAGTGCCGTTACAAATATCTACGGTACAATAGCCGTTGGTCAAGCCATAATATTCTGTCATGTAAGGATAAATTATTAGGAATATTTAGTATAATATCAACAAACATGATTTTTAGACAAGAAAAACAGCCTCTTGGCTGTCAGGAAAAATGACCACAGATGGTTATGCAGTAGCTGTACTTTCGGGAGATTTGACTGTGGACCAGCGTATAAGCGTTTTGGATAGGTTTAGACAGGGAAAGGAGAAAGTTCTTATCACAACCAATGTACTCTCTCGAGGTATGTGTCAAAGATCCACTCTACTGTTATCTTAAACTCATTGTAGTGACGGTTCGCGAATGTTAAAGTGGTCATACTGTTTTTTAGGTGACTATAGAGAACTTTCATGACAACAAAATTTTGAACGAAATTTGCGAAAATTAAACTAGAGGTGGCCAATGCCGAGATCTCGGACAGGATTGCAGTTATTTAATTAATATTTAATTTTCATAATCAACTGATATCAAGTGTTTTATTTTTATTTGCTTCTAAATTAATTTTTCTTTTCACTTTAATTTGTTTATAATGTATGTATATTTCAAAACTTCATAATGCCAAAGCTTTAAAAATTAAAATTTTGTGAAAAATTAGAAAAAGCTTTTGTGCATAGGTTGATTATGAAAAAAATTATTGTGCGGATCTTCATGTTGGTCACACCTATTTTAATTTTTTATTTCACAAATTTTGTTCAAAATCTCTATTAAGCCTAAAAATTATTTCCAAAAAAACGGTATAGGTTCCACGCTTCATTATCCAAATATGACCACTTCAATTTTTGCCAACCATCACTGATCCACCGTGTCTCCTGTGACAACTTGATGAAAGTAACTTGGTAAATATAACAAATTTTAGGAATTAAATTTGAGCAAGTAACCACCATAGTAAACTTCGACTTACCAGTGAATGTACACGGCAAGGCAGACTGTGACACTTATCTATATAGAATTGCTTGCACAGTAAGGTTTGGCAAATCTGGAACTGTTATAAACCTTGTCGATTCTGATCAGTCGATGGCCATTTGTAAGTCAATTGAGAAACATTTTAATAGAAAATTTCATTATTTAAATATAAACAAATAACGAAATCTAAAAAATTGGCAATTGAGTTATACAGGGTGTTAGGGAATTGACTCTCGTAATTTTACCGGGCGATTCAATATATCAAGCTAAGCAAAAAAGTTTATTACAACATAGGTCCTAAAACCAACCGTTTTCCAGAAAATCACGTACAAAGTGTTAATGAAATTTGGTATGGTTCGGCAACAGCGCATCGGAACTAAACATGGGTTCTGAATGAGTAAATCAGTTGTAAAAAAGTAATCTGAAAACCTAGACTATTAAATTTATGGCTAACGCACCATTATAACTTATTATTTTCGGAAAATTAATTATTGCTACAATTCAGAATTGGTTTTGATAACATTACATAGTCAGATAAATTTTAAAAAATTAAGTTCACTTGAGTTCTTTCGTTTTATTTCAGCTCAGACAACTAAGAATTACTAATTATTTCTAAACACTTCACAATAAATGTTCAAAATGTCTGCCTTCACTATCTAAACAACTCCGACACCTGCGAATCCAGTTTTCACGAATTCGTTGGAAAATCCCTGCCGTATTACGAATTTGATCGGCTGCTGCAAAAATTCGTTCTCGAAGATTATTTTCATTTTCAATTTCGGAGGAATACACGATATTCTTCATATGACCCCAAAGGAAGAAATCCAATGGATTCAGATCCGGTGATCGCGCCGGCCAGCGATGTGGACCATTTCTGCCTATCCACTTATTTGTGAAAGTGTTGTTTAGGTACTGCACTACTGCACGACTTGAGTGAGCTGGTGCCCCATCGTGTAAATACCACATACTTAAACGTGTTTGAATTGGCACTTCCTCTAATAACTCTGGTAAATTGTTCGTCAAAAAAGCTAGATATTCTTCACCAGTTAATCTACGTGGTAAAATAAAAGGCCCTATGAGGAAGTTACCTATTAAACCGGCCCAAACGTTAAAAGAAAATTGATGTTGCCTATTCCTTTGCACAATAGTATGGGGATTTTCTTCAGCCCAATTATGTGCATTGTGAAAATTCCAAATGCCACTGCGCGTAAAACAAGCCTCATCTGTTGACAAAATGCAGGAAACAAAATTGCGATCTCGTTCACTCTTGTTAATGAACCATCTACAGAAATGTTCTCTTGGAGGAAAATCAGCTGGTAAAAGGGCTTGAACTCTCTGAACATGATATGGGTACAACAACTGTTCTTTCAAGGTTCTGTGTACACTCCAATGAGACACTCCGACTTGACGAGCAATACTTCTAGTACTGCGACTGGAATCTGCTGCTACCAATTCTAAAATTTGTTCTTCAGTTTCCACTTCGATTTCTCGCTGGCGGCCGCGATTGTCATTTTTTGGAATAACACTACCGGTCTCAAGTAATCTTTGGGAGACTGCTACAAATGTTTCACGAGCTGGTAACTGTTTGTCAGGAAACCGTAGTTCATAAATACGTCTTGCTCGTTGAGAGTTACACCGAGCTTCTCCATAAATAAGAAGCATATCGTGATATTCACGCACAGAATACATTTTACTTAGCTTGTCACAACACAACAGACCGACATGTAAATTAAGAAATAACTGTAAAGTAGATTTTTGACAGCGCGGGCGTGTTGATTGATTCGCAAATAAATCATAAGTACGGTCGCACTGGTGTACCTACCTATGCGGCATTGCCATGTCTCAGGCCCTACAATATTATTTATTTTTATTTAACAAATGTTCATTGTAGTTGGATGTAAAGTGTAATTTTAAAACTAAACAATAAAATAATGATAACTTAGATGCAAATCATTAATGTTTTAAACGCAGATTTGCTATTTGGGGCAGATTTACCGCTGATAAATTGAAAGTTTATTATTTATTTTCTGGAAAACGGTTGGTTTTAGGACCTATGTTGTAATAAACTTTTTTGCTTGGCATGACATACTGAATCGCCTGATAAAGTTACGAGAGTAATTTACCTAACACCCTGTATAGTTAGAATTATAAACGGAATATTTTTATTTTTAAGTGTCTATTATTCTTGTCACTTGATGCTAAAATATCTCTGTAATGTTATAATTTGTAACAAATATTAATTTTAGTAAAAAATACTTTCTTTGTTCTACCGTGTAATTATTGATTGATGAAGTCAATAAATAGAGTAGAAGCAATGTTTTAAGTTCTTTATTACAAACTTCTAAATGTTATTATAAAAATACCTCCAAATATTCGATTTATGTACAATAAATTAAATTAATTGTTTTCCTATCCGTTAGGTAATCGTGTTTAACTCTATCTTCCCACTTGGATCGACACTGCCGTTGACTTGATTATCGCTAGTTTCGCGCATAAATCTGTAAACGGCAGGTGAAATTAAATCCTTGTGGATTTTCTTGCCCTTATTTGACCCTGTCAAATAACTGACTAATAACCCGACGGTCAGGGCAGTAACAGTTCCTAAAGCCGTGTAATACATATACGACATCCTGTACAGCGCAAAAGGGGGTTGAACTGGTTTAGGAGTAGTATCGGGTGATAACGTCAAACTTAAATACTCCGCTATCCAGTTGGCATTGCATCCTTCAACGGAGACAGGTTTTTGAGGGAATCTGATGAGACCCTGCGCCATTTTCATCTGTGTTCCTATCGAAATCCACGTAATGAGGGTGCCACTTATCAAACCACCCGCTAGGGCTCCATATGCGTTAGCTTGGGGGAAGAACATGCCCAAGGAGAATATGCCGAGTAAAGGACCGGCAGTGATCGCGCCTAAGCTGCCAGAAGCTTGGATTAGAGCCGCACCCATCTTTTCAACAACAAAGACAAGTCCGACGCATGTACCGCCTATTATCACTACTATAACTTTCATTAAGAAGCTGGCGTGGCTTTCCGTAAGAGGTTTTTTCATCCGGGGTTTGATCAGATCCTCGAAAATCACGCCCGTCATGGAATTCAGGCCGGTAGACATAGAACTGAAATAGAAGAATTATTCAGAAGTAAGCCACTGAACTGCCCTCGTCTAAGCCTAATATACGATTACCTCAAGGCTGCGCTGAATACTCCACTCACAAACAACCCCGGTAAGCCGGGCATGGTTTGGGCAATCTGCATCACGAAATATGGTAGCAACTGATCAGATTTGTGGATTGCTCCTCTTGTGACGGGATCACATTTATAGTAAAACGCGTAGATGACTAGGCCCATGTAACAGCACATCGACACCAATGCCATGATACCAAAGACCAAAATGGCCACAGTTCTGTAAAAAAATTATGGAATATTACATGTTTTTATACTACGAGGACCAAGGCTTACATTCTTGCCGAATGAAGTGACGGCATAGCAAGACATCTCTGTACCATCGCTTGATTAATGGAACAAGATGCCATCCATGAGAAAAAGTTGCCTATCGTTACCGTCCAAAAGGAGTGTCTTATTGTAGGGTCCCAATCAAAACTAATGAAAGAAAAAATATGCATATACTTATCCTAAATTGAAATAAGTTTTCTAATTTGTGATAACTATTCAGTTCGTTTAATTTAAAAATCGTGCAGAAGACAGGAAAATATTTTGAAATTTGTTTTTTTTTTCATACGTCAGATATTCGTATTATACCTACTTAAAAAAATCTATTCTTCCACCTGCTACATTCCTGGACCAAAGTTCACTAAAACCTCCTACACTAGCTGTCCCCATGAATATAACGATTATTAGAGCTCCAAACATAATCACAGTTTGAACTGTGTCTGTCCATACTACAGCTTTAAGTCCTCCCTAAAAGTTTAATATATAAGTAAAATTTAAAACATCTTTCAATAATGGCTTTTTCTTGCTATTTTCCAATTTAACGTTCTAAGACTGAGTTTAATTGACGTAAATTTTGAGAAACAATTTTGAATGACATTCAAGTATTATTTTATCAAAACTATAACTAATTCTTTGGTTTTTTTGTTTTAAAAAAATAAATTGTACTCATTGTTTAACGTCATTATTATAGCCTCTAAGATTATTTTTGTTTCATTTAGAATATCTTGTGCAAGTTCTTCTTCGTTATTCACAGGTTATCTTATAAACCATGGACAAAAGATGCCATAAAAATAATCTAATAGATTTAAGTCTGGAGAGTGTGATGGCCAATTACAAAACTATCCATGTTCCATGAAAATGAATTGATATTTATCATATTTTTGATATGGAATTTATTGTCCCGTAAAACTATATACCAACATACCAAATTTAAAAAAAAAATCATGTCATTTTAAAATAATGAAACGATTTAATAGGACATGACGATGACATTAGCAACAGCTATTAATTAGTACGAAATAGGTATGTTGTAAATAATTTGTGACTCAAACTTGTTATTCTCATGTACGATTTCTCTAGCAAAACAGATACTTTCAAATCGTTTTTGTTTTTCCACAAAATATGCATAAAGATTTGCTTGATGTCCATGATTTTATAGATATTAGAAAATTAATAGCATGTTGTGTAAATTTCCCATTTCTGAGTCGAAATTGGTGCTTTGAGTGAGTTTTTTTTCTAAATACTCAATTAGTCGATTTTTAATAATTTTGAAATATTTTAGGTAAATCGGATATAAAAAAATTGGGCCATAATTATCTAAAACCATATCATCTTTTTTAAGAACAAGTATGACCTTTCCACCATTCTTAGTAAAATAACAATTAATTTCATTGGGAATGTTAGTGGCTTCTTTGTTGTCTAGTATTTTTCTTTGTAATTTGATTTTCGTTCCGCAACTTTTTGAATTATTAGAATTTTCTCCTAATTGCTCTTAAAAAAGATTACTTCCGTTTTCCGTTCTAATTAAATTTGTCACTCTATTTATGGAGTCTTCGTATTCCTGTTCATTTTCGTGAAATAGTTTTAATGAAAAACACTTTTTGTCCAACGAGCAATTTTTATATTCGTCACTGTCAATATTTTAGTGTAGTGACATTTCTATATACAAATTTTTGAAGTCAATATTAAAATTTCAAGTGGTTTTTTAACATGGATCTGCTGTACTCTGAATTCCCTACTAAATCAAAACTCAAACCCTGTGAAGATATGCCCCTATCAAGAATAAGATTAATAGACAACGTAGAAGAAGACGATGCTCTAATTATGATATTAATGCTTTCCTTAATGCTATCTGTTATGCTACCCTTATGTATGATAGCTGCCCCATTCGTTCTCCAGGACAATTCAATCATAACGTTATTAATATTTCTCGTTTTCCTTATACCTGGCATAATGCTATCGTGTAGTAACATAAGACTTTTTATAAGTGAAATAGTCAATGGTTTTTAGAATACTAAACGGGTGCTTACCAGAGTAGTGTAGAAGATACACACGATGCATACCACGGGGGTGACCAGATGCAGATTAATGCCGGTAACTGAAAATAAATAAAGTTATGAAAGTTCACACTTGTTATTTTTTTATTACCTTGGCTAAAAGCTAACGCAGGTACGTAGATGACAATAGGAATATATAACAACATTTTAGTCAAAAATAATACTGAACCTAGTAGACGAACAGTCTGATTAAACCGTAGATTTAAATACTTAAAACAAACAACAGAAATTTTTCAATTATTAGGAGTATTAACAGAGATGAATTGTACTTACCTCATAACTAGAAGTTATTTGTAGCTGGTAGAAGACTGGTAAGTATGCGTAAGCCATTGCCAAGGAAACAAATCCTTCTGATGCTATTATCATCCAAAATTGGGTCCCATAGGTGTACATTTCAGCTGGAATGCCCAAAATACTTATTCCTGATATATAGCTGAAAATTGATATATAGTTTAATGCCTTTTGATTAAAACAACAGGTTTTTGTTATGAACCTATGTTTTAATTTATCTTTAAAGAGTAATATTTAAAAAATATAATTCTGAATTTATTGCGTGTATAAAAATTAAAAATATTTTGAATTTAAAACGAAACGATGTTTGAACGTTTAAATTTCGACAAATGAAATAAATCGCAGATAAGGGAACCAAATTTTGGCGGCAAATTCTATTTTGAACTATTGAGATTTCGGACAAATGCAAATCCACGCGTACCAACCTAACCTTATAATATTTTGAGAGCGTCTGTCAGTAGTCGGCTTTTCAAATTTCAATTTAAAAAACAAACTCAGTTTAATACAGTTTTATTTTTATCAAAAATCAAAAGTAATTATTTTAGTGAATAGGTATTAGTTAACGTAAGTGTAATATCAAAGTTAGGTAAGTTGATACATTTCTTGTTATTATGCAATAATGCGTTTAATAATGTATTGTCTAATATAAATATTTTTTACTAATTAAGAAATTAAGTTCAAACTGAGGTTTCTTAAGTAATTAATATGTACACACATTATAAAACAATATCTACTGGATATTCCCATTAAAGAAAATTTTTGCATTTGTTATAATATTTATATTAGTTTGGTTCAGCTATTATTGGGATACAATAATATTACTAGAAAATATATCCGGCACCTATTTGATAAGGTCAAATCATAGGTATATTTTGAGAACCAAATATTTCATTTTTACGGTTGCATATTTTTGCTACAGTCCCATTATTTTATTCCCGCTGTTAGTTTTATTTTTACAAAAAGTTCGGGAATAGAATTGAATCAAATATTTATACACAGGAGACAAAATGATGTCGAAAAAAGAATACGAAAAGAAAAGAAGAGAAGAACAAGAAGCAGCAGCACACGTTTTCCAAGAATTCATAAACACATTCCAAAATGCTTCTCCTGCACCGAACAAAACTTTCGTCAAATCGGGAACTTTGTATTCTGACGATAATCAAGAAAACAAAGATATCCGCCAATTCTATAATCCCAAACCGATAATCCGGCAAAATAACTCGAATAGCATTAAGAGTGCCATAGAATGCGCGCGACTTTTGAGAGAAAACAACCTTGAGAAGCCTAAGAAACAGGAAAAACCCAAATCGAACCTGGATCTCCTGAAAGAAGAACTGAAATTGCGACATTCGGAAAGGGGAGAGAAAGAAAGGCTTAAGGTTAGTTTTGTCGATAAGTTTTTATATCTTCATGGTTAATTGATAATATCGGGACCATTTTAAGGAGGAATTGGAACTTTCTGCTCCTGCCCTAAGTTACTTTGAGGGTGGAGATCCCAACTCGACCAACTTGTTCGTAGCGAATTTAAATTCGAAGATTACCGAAAACCATCTGATGTTGGAATTCGGAGCTTACGGTCCTTTGGCCAGTGTAAAAATAATGTGGCCTAGAGGTAGGTCATTTGTGTAATCAGTAGAGTTCGAGACACACTGCTCTTACTAACTGATCATACTCAGTTCACTCTTCCAGTTTTCATTTCGGTTATTCACTAGGTGTTGTTCGTATCGGTAAAAAAATAAATACCTGAAATATAGAAATTATTAAACAATGAAATCATTCAAAGAAATATTTTGTATTTTTGTTGTTTGATCATAATTATACAGGGTGGCCAAATGAAAACGAAACAGAGCCATTTCGGGAACTGCGTCATGATTGTAGAAAAACGCTCACACCCGTCTATTTTAGATTAAAGGGGGAGATTCTGGTATTTTTGACTCCGCCACTTTCACTCCCAAGCAAGGGTAAGCATCAGGTTGAGTAATATTTCTTTTGAAAGCCCTTACAATTCTCTACAACAGACTTTAAATTTTATAATTCCGCCCAATCCTTTGAAAAAAATTTACATTTTAAAACTTAAATTATGTTTAGCTGCTTACTTACTACTTAGTTGATTAAATATTCAAACTGATGACCGCCCGCTTCCATACAAGATTTTGTTCGAAACGTTCGCGCACATTCCGAAGCATTTCCGGAGTGATTCGACGGCATTCGTCGACGATTCTTTGACGGAAATATTCCAGCGACGCTGGCTGTGTTCTATAGATTTTACTTTTTAGGTATCCCCACAAAAAGAAATCAAGGGGCGATACATCCGGTGATCGTGGAGGCCATTCAGTGCTGCCTCTTCTCCCAATCCAATTCCGTAGAAATCGTTGGTCCAAATACTGACGGACAATTGAATCCTCTAGTATCAAAACCCCTTAAATCCGTTTTTGATGAAAAGTGAGATATACGCTTCAAAATATTCCTACTAAAATTCCCTATTGATGTGTTCGTTCGAATGATTGCAAAAGTCACCTAATATAATATTAGGTGATGTGTTCATTCGAATGATTGCAAAAGTCACCTAATATAATATTAGGTGACTTTTGCAATCATTCGAATGAACACATCAATAGGGAATTTTAGTAGGAATATTCTGATGCGTATATCTCATTCTTCATCAAAAACGGATTTAAGGGGTTTTGATACTAGACGACTCAATTAACGCATAAAGCGGAGGAGCACCGTCCTGTTGAAAAATCAAATGATCATCATACTCTGGAACACAATAGTGTCTTCCAGTAATTGCAAATACATTTAGCCAGTCAAATTACCAGGTAGAAAAAAAGGACCCCACCAGCCGATCACCTAAAATTCCAGCCCATACATTTAATTTTTCCGGTTGCTATGTATGCACCTCGTGAAAAACTCTTGGGTTTGAATCGGACCAATAACGGCAATTGTGACGATTGACTGTCCCGTTCAAGAAAAAACTGCATTCATCAGAAAAACAGATGTTAAAAAGGAACTGGTGGATCGTTCCCTGCTCGCTCACTCATTATTTCGCAAAATTGCAAACGGCGGTCATAATCATCCTCATGAAATTCCTGGACTAAATGTATTTTGTATGGATGGAATTTATTCTTCTTCAAAATGGTTTGTATGCTAGTTCAATTGATCCCAGACACAGATGCCAGCTGCCTGGTGCTTAATGTAGGATCAAGATGAACTTGTCCCAAAACTGCAACTTCACTAGCTTCATTAACTATAGGTTTTTCAATTTCTCGTTTTTTATTGGCTACGTTCCCTGTCTCTTGAAATTTTTTTACTAACTAGAACATCTTCCTCCTAACATGACATGTCGATCTTGATGTTGTTCATTAAATAGCTGACCTGTTCTATTCGCACATTTATTGTTCATAAAGTAAAGCGAAATGATATCTACGCTTTCCGCAATGGAATAAACCATAGTGTTTAATTTTCAAGAACACAATTAAATAAACTACCAACCAACGCTTCCAAATAATACTAGAAAATAATTTGGAATCCACTAATTTTACGTTCATTGTGTGTGTATAGCATTCATTTCTGTTTTTTACAATTGTGCTTTTTTTACGAAAGTGATAACAAATCGCCAAAAACCAATGTAACGCAAGAAATACTAAATTTATACCATTGGCGTACTTAACTCGAATGACTGACATTTTTACCGTTTACTAATTGTTTGTACATACGTTTCAACTTTAAAATAAAAATTCTTAATAAGTATTGCGCGGAATTATAAAATTTAAAGTCTGTTGTAAAGAAAATTGTAAGAGCTTTCAAAAAATATATAACAACCCTCAATGCCATTTAAATATTTTGGGGTGATGCTTACCCTTGCTTGGGGGTGAAAGTGGCGGAGTCAAAAATACCAGCAAAGAATGTTCCCCTTTAATCTAAAATCGACAGGTCTGAGCGTTTTTCTATAATCTTGACGCAGTTCCTAAAAATGGCTTTGTTTCGTTTTCATTTGGCCACACTGTATATATATAAACATATTATAACGAGCGTTCAAATAAAAACGTGGCCGAAGTTGGCTCTGACACACTGGTCGTAGGGAGTAGCTTATAGCGACCAACTTAACCTCATTTCTCAACGAGCTGTATAGCAGCTGTCAGTTTCAATAACAAAGCGGCGATATAGCGTTTTGACAGATGACGTTTAAGTTCATTTGCTATACGTTACGCCCTACGTCCAAATTTTCAGAACCAACTTGACCACGTTTTTATTTGAACGCTCGTTATATCGTTATGGGCCGCGTGTCTCGAATTCTAGTGATCACTAATCATTGACCTAGCCGCATAGCTTATTTGAAATTTAAGACGAGAAAATTACTTAAAAATAAATTGACAAAGGTGATGAGAAATCCAGGAACTCAAACTGCGGCTTCGTGGCCTTCATGAGCAGGAAGGACGCGGAAAGAGCTTTGAGAGCCAACAAAAACCGAGACGATATGAGAGTAGGGTGGGGCAAGTCCGTGGAGTTACCCGCTCATCCTATCTACATCCCCAACAGCCTGCTCAAGCTCTATCTGCCCCCTCCATTAAGCGGACTACCTTTCAACGCCCAACCGCCAAATCCTGACTACAAAAAAAACTGCTCGGAGGAAGAACTCGACGACCTGCTCCACCACAGTCTGGTAAAGGTCACCATACCGCTGAATAAGAAAACTTTGATGCTGGTACACAGGTACTTGTCGATACTGATTGAATCTTGAACGAAATTTAATGCAGATTTGGTTTCTCTTCATCAGAATGGTCGAATTCGTCGTCAGGGAGGGTCCAATGTTCGAGGCTTTCATTATGAACAAGGAAATTGGGAATCCAGAGTTCAATTTTCTTTTCGACTTCCAAAGCCCCATCCACGTGTATTACAGGTGGAAACTGTACTCCATTCTCGTAGGTCAGTCCAAAAAATGTGTTTTTCTAAAAACAATACATCTGTAACAACCACAAAAGTTACAGGGCGTGGATATGTCTCGACATTGCAAACTTGTGATTTCACTCACAAACTTGTAGCAAGTTACTGAGCAACCTATATAGACTGCGAACTATTTATAGTAAGCATATGTACATACAGGGTGTAACTTTAAATGGGAGTCACAAACTTATCATACTG